AGCATGGTGTTCAGTATAATGTTTGTTAGGAGCATGGTGTTCAGTATAATGTTTGTTAGGAGCATGGTGTTCAGGGTAATGTTAGGAGCATGGTGTTCAGTATAATGTTTGTTAGGAGCATGGTGTTCAGTATAATGTTTGTTAGGAGCATGGTGTTCAGGGTAATGTTAGGAGCATGGTGTTCAGGGTAATGTTTGTTAGGAGCATGGTGTTCAGGGTAATGTTTGTTAGGAGCATGGTGTTCAGGGTAATGTTTGTTAGGAGCATGGTGTTCAGGGTAATGTTTGTTAGGAGCATGGTGTTTACGATGGTGTTTGAACCAGTTTTTTCTTAAATTTAAAACATTGATAGGTTCCCTGAAAGGGATTGCTGTTTTCATTTTCAGCATGATAATGCAATGAATGCTGGCAGGTGACGAACATTTTGATTCCAATCTCATTTCTCTAAAGCTTGTGTCAGTTTTAATTAATGTGGTCATTACCAAGGAAGCCAGGATGCACTCCACCAGCGATGTTTGTTTTGTTGTCATGTTAGAAACCTGAGAAGAAATGCTGCATGCAGCTTCCTTCCTGTCTCTTTTTCAGGAACCACAGTGAACCCTGATCTCAGGTTACTGGTTTTTGTTTGAGAATCCTCGTTCTTTTACAAACATTAGTTTTGTTAAAACTGTCAGAAAGTGAATGACTTTCCTGTCACTTTGTGTTTATAACATTTATAGCTGCTTTAATCTGTTTCTCAGGGCTTCTGCTTGTCTTCTGATCAGCACTTTAACGCAAACTTAGACAAAAAGGCACAAACAAAACAGCAAAAATGCAGAAAGAACAAAACTGTCTCAAAAACGCAACAAAGTCAGACTTGTCACTGAACGCTTAATGAGACATTATTCTCTTTGTTACATGTTGTATGTTTCTGTTCTGTTTACATTGTAAGGATCAGCCCTGTCCATCCTGGCCCGGCCTGGGCTCAAACCTGGCTTCTCTGTATTTGCATTTGCTGGTATGACCCCAACTTCCAGCATGACTTCTGGATCCCAGAGACCTGGGGTTCTGTTCAGGTTGATTAGTCGTTGTCTCACTCTGTTTCAGAACACAGAAGTACAACAAGCTCCATGTTGTCTAGTTGTGTAGCAACATGTGTTTCTGGTTCTGTTTTTTATGTGTGTTTATAGTTTTCTGATCAGTAAAGATGAGCCTGTGAGAGTCTTCGCCCACCGTTTGGATCTACATGTGACAAAAACCATGAGTTCAACGAGGCTAATTAAAGCTACGTAGCATGAAAACCCTTCAGTCAGTGGTTAATGTAGGACAGGATATTATCATTTAGTTAAGTATTTCATCAGTTTTCACTTCTGCAATGAACTGCATTAGCTTCAGCTCTTGGTGAAACATTTTCTTCTAAACTTGAAGGACGTACAGTTGTGATGTTTGTTAATTAACAGTTTTTTACACAAACTCAGAGTAGATGACTGAAAATTCCCTCTGCTTGTAAAGGTGAGCTGAACCTGTTTTGCCATTTGTTTCCTGTAAAACTCCTCCCCCTGTTACTCTGGCTCCTCCCCCTCACCACTTCCTCTTCTTTTGACAAACTTCCAGCAGCCATGATGTTTCTCTGCCTGAAACAACAAGCTGTTATGAGAACACAGACCTGCTGCAGACATATTTGTTACTAAATATGTCTGGACGTAGAAGTGGTTTTCAGTTCTACTTTGTGTTCTAATACTTCCCTTGTAATACTTTTATTTTCTGTCACCAGTAAGTTTGCTGCACACCAAAAATATGTACATTAGACTGCCTTCAGGCCCAGGCCTCCCCTGTCAAAGAGATCTGGTTAAAATACAGTTAAATACACAAACTGAATAAATAATGCCTTTAATTTAGTCCAAAGCCCAGACTCTTTAGGCCACTCACCATGTTTCAGACTTCTGTGAAATCTGCAGAATGATTTTACCTCCATGCTCCACTCCTACAGTTAACAAACTTCCTGCAACACGTTTTAATTCTAGCTTTCAGAACTGATGCAACACCAGATCTCCTCATGCAAGACCTGATTCTGTTTGACATGAGAGGAAAAAACTAACTTTGACTTGTGAAAGTTTGAATAGTTGTCATGTTGTGGAGTTTTTACCACCAGCCTTCAGGATCTTCGTCTACATTCACCCTTCTTCAGAAACCAGCAGATGAACAACCATGAAGGCCTGAAGGGATCCTTCACTGGGCTCACTTTGGTTTTCAAGGTTGATAAATGGAAGTTGTGTAAAATAAACCTGTCGTTTAATTTCTAATGCTGAACTCTGAGGGTGAAATCCTGCCAGAATACTCTGTTAGCCTTCTACAGCTGCCACCTGCCTGACAGCAAGGAGATTACAGGTTCTAATGACTGAACACCTGTCCAGGTGTGTCTGTGAAGGAAAAACACCTGTCCAGGTGTGTCTGTGAAGGAAAAACACCTGTCCAGGTGTGTCTGTGAAGGACAAACACCTGTCCAGGTGTGTCTGTGAAGGACAAACACCTGTCCAGGTGTGTCTGTGAAGGACAAACACCTGTCCAGGTGTGTCTGTGAAGGACAAAGACCTGTCCAGGTGTCCAGGTG